CGCTCAAGTTCTTTTTAAAACAAGTATAGTTTATGAATCTAGTACTCTTATATGTCTATTATTAAATATTATTATCCTGAAATAGCATGCTATTATTGATGTGCTTGTTTGATTTTACTTGCTCCTGAAGAGGATAATTAAACAAAATCTAACATAAATTATGCTTTTGAACTTGAAGAATAAATCTTTACATACTTTATATTTTAAATGTTATTGTTTCTGAAAAGCATGACACTACGATTTCAATATTTCAGAAGATTATTGACATATTACTTTGAAGAAGCAATAGTAAAATACAAAAAAATTTCGAAGTAGCACATCTCTCAAATAATATGTGTAATTTATGAAATAATATTTATCTCTAGAGGAAAACATATAGCTCGTTTCATGTTGAGATTGATTATTTTGACTATTTGATTAATTATAACATGACTATACAATATTTAATCATAATGCAATTACACATACTATTTCTTAAGAAAAAAAGTATTTTTTCGACTTAATTAATATAGAAAATAATTTATATATGACATCAGGTGCATCGAATATAGTTGAAAGCTCCGAAAATCTTACATTATTTTATCAAATAATAAATTATATATTGACGATGCATTTTATTCTAACATATTCAAAAGAAATTTGTTTAATTTTAAAGATATCCGCTGTAACGAATATCAAATGGAGAAGATATAAGAGAATAATATAGAATATCTTTGCATAACATCTTTTTTATCTGGCCAGAAACAGATAAAAGAAAAACTTCGGGCACTCCATTCTGGCATGTGCTACACATTCATAAAAATGATTTACTCAAATATTATTAGAACCCGAAATTCATTCACCCTGTGTTGAAATTTGGAAAGTTGTATTGTTATGTGAAAAAAAATAGAAATGGATAGGAGTAATTATAGAGAAGAACAAAAATTAAGTGGTCGTTTTGGCTACTTTTCGAGGTTTAGTGACCGTTTGTTGCAAACAGTCACTGAACTTTGAACAATGATGCGAGCTCGTCGTCGAGCCAAATCGGTTCTACTCATCAAACAGGTCGACTAGCTCGGCTCGCACTCGAGCTCATCATCTGACTTGCCCAAGCCGCGTTTTTACAAGCCCTCGTTAGCTTGGCCTATTTGACATCCCTAACTATAATTGTAATAATGTATTGACTTATTTTTATTAATAATATGTTGTTTTCATTTTTGATTCCACAATACAAATGTCTAGGTTTGTCCCTGCCAAATTCCATAAAATATTTTACTTTTTACCTCGTATATTAGCTTCAGTGTGCTTGATGTGAAAGCTCAATGACTTGTAGATGAAAATGGACAAGAAAGAGGTAAGTGAATTCATTGAGAAAAGGTTTGGTTCACAACAACTTTCATTGAGGACTGTGTAATCTTAAATAGTAAATTAGTACAATATATTGTCAAAAATCAAGATTATATGAAAATGGAAATTTAAGCCATGTTTGACAATCATTATTTTCAATCTTTTTTCTTACATACTCATTTCTAACCATAGATTTACTTAATAAAATATTCTGTATATAAATTTAAAAAATTTTCCTATTTTTTAATCATATATTCTCCTAAAAATCACTTTTCAAAACATTACTTTTTGAAAATAATAGCAACCAAGCAGGGGCTAAGTTTCTTGAATCACGAAGAGGTAAAGCATCACCAACACTTGTAGCTTTCATTCGGGTTTCATTTTTTTCTTTTAAATATTTTACATTTTAAAACAAATATTGATTTTAACTATATTTTCATAAGATTCACAAATGCTAATCACTTATCAATCATTCATTTATTGAAAAGTAAAATTTTAACGAAATAAAAGTATTATTTATCTACCCACCTGTGACCTATATTATAGAGTATATAACTTCGATCATAAGAATCAATTTCTAGTCGCAATCCTTTATATTGGAATGGGTGAATGGTCAAATGGTTTGGCAATTCCTGATGAGGGGATGAGATTCATACGTGCATATTTATAGGTGACTATAATGTGTCTAGAATCCAATTACGAACATGATAATCTATCGAGTAATGAAGATTACCAATAGTTGTCCTATATAACATATACAAGGCAGTTTATTAATTGATACATTCATGTAGTAATTTTTATTGTCTGATGCATCAAATAATAAAATGTCAAGTGTATGTTACGTAGGACGACTACTGATAATTTTCATTATGAATAGCATTATTCTAAGGGAATATTGCAGTCGAGATACCAAACATTTCGTTTATTAGCAGACTTTGCCCAAACTTTTAGTTTGTGCCACTGGAGGTACCAAACCTTTCAAAAATCCGCACCCCAAGTCCAAATGGATGGAAACCTTTCGTTTGACCTTTAGTTGACCAATAAAATTAAACATTGACCAATTTTTGACTAATTTAAAAGGGTAAAAAAGTAAAAGTTACTTAACCATATAATAAAACAATTAAAATAAATAACTAAAACAAAAAAAAATACTATTCATCTTCTTCTTCACCCACCCACGCTATCCCCACCCAATCCAAACCATACTGTAAACTATAAAATGTAAACTATTCTCTTCCTCCTTCCAATACACGAGTGAGTGCGTGTGAGTGAGAGAAGATAAAGATCAAAAGGATGGCAGAATTTGCTCCATTCCATTTCTAATCCAACCCACCCTCTGCACATCATTTCTAAAACTATGGCAAAGGAGATGAATAGTATTTTTTTTTTGTTTTAGTTATTTATTTTAATTGTTTTATTATAGGGTTAAGTAGAAATCATTCTTTTTTATGTTGTTTTTTCATGTAATACAATAATTTACGAACTTCTTACAGTAGTTAGTGTTGTAGGTGATTTGGTTGCATTTTTTTCCCCAGCTGCATGCATCAAACAAATAATTTGAACGCGATAATTCATTGTTATTTTTACAAAAAATAATAATAATAATAATAAATAAATAAATAAATTCCAAGCTTAGACGAAGAGTGAGAATATGTGATAGCAAATTAAATATAAATCATTGATATTACTTTGAACAACGCAGTAGCAGTTTTGAGAACTTCGGTTATGCAAATGAAATTTCATAATATTTGTGTGTATAATTCTTTCTACACCAATCTAACATTCGAAACGAGTATTTATGAAATTTTGATCTCCAATATCGATTTTCAATTATAGAAGTTAGTCCCTCAATCATCTTTAGACATATTTAGAGTCGCCGAACATGTCTTTTGATAATTTTTTTTGGCAAAAATGGCTGTGCATATTCAACATAACACTTAAAATCAAGAATTTGATGCTAGAGGCTGTATTTTCAAGCATAATTTAGCAATTATTTCTCAGCTATAAAGTTTTTGTTTCTTTGTAGTAGGAGTAGTCATGGCTTCAAATAAGCCCTCGTTTGGCCCCCATTTTTTAGAAATAAAAATGGGTAGAATTGTGTTTTTTTTTTTTTTTTTAAATGAGTGGTTGAAAAGAATGAAAAGTTTTCGATTTACGTGTAATATTATTTTATGGAAGATTATATAGTTGAAAATAAGAGAAAAAAATCGAATATAATATAATGTAATTTAATGGGAGCCAAACGGTGTCTAAATGTAGAAGATAAGCCTTTTGGATTTGTCTTCATTGATACACTTCATATTTCAAGGGTTGGTGGTGGATGGGGTGGCTGCGAGTAGGTGAAGATTGTCGGTGGTAGTGCTGGCTAGTTTGGGACTTGGGAGCTGCAATGGGAGAGATGAAAATTGCCAACAAGGTCCTAATACCCTTAAAAATGAAATTCCTTTTCTAATTATTGGTTGAACCAAATAGGATTAATCATGTTTGATTTAGTTAAAAAAGTTGATAAAATTTTAAATTAGAACCCAACACTTTTATCAATTTTATGATATATTTTATCAATTTTTATCAAAATCTATTAAAATTTGATTTTTAGCAAAACTAAGCGGGGGCTAAGTCTTGGTTTGCATTGTTCTGTCAAAGTAACCTTGCCACACATACCTGAGGCAAACCGGACTAGACCATCATTGGCTCTCAATTGAAGCCTATAAGATAGGCCCAACTGTTAGTGAGATTTGTATAAGGTTTGTTCGGTAGTGATTATAAGAATTGATTTTTTGATCGTTAGAGAGAAAAGTCGATTCTATCTGTGAGAGAAGAAATAAAAAATAATGGCTAATTTTGAAAAGTAACGATCAAAAAATCAATTTTTTGAAGTGAAAAATCAGAACCAAACTTACAAATAATTTGACAAGACTGTTACTTAGAAGTTTGTTTCTTTTTACGTTTTTAGAGTCCTCAATGGCTCTCAATTGAAGCCTATAATATAGGCCTTTTGATACCTCTTTGACAAAAATGGCAATGTGTATTGAACAAGACACGTAAAGGATAATGTAGAATGTTATTATAGTCACTCTTCCAATCAAAGCTACCTTGTATTTGGTAATTAAAATTTCAATCAACTTTTGAAAATTAATTTTGAAGCTTCTAATAAGTAGACATTCGGGTCTACCCGTTCGTCAAGAGTGAATTGATAAATAAATAATGCTATTCAATATCAGTTTAAGTCACTACACTTTATAGATTTAATTAAACGAGTCATGTGATTTTACATTTAAATGAATTTATCATTTAATGTCATATAATTATCACCTAAACTGGTGCTTAGTATCAGTGATTGTAGTAGAGCTTTTCGAAAAATCACAATAACACACGTAGCTCCTTAGCGATTTTTATCTTCTCAACAACTTCGCCTCGAGTCAAAAGGGTTTCCTTAGACGCTTTCCAAGCTCTACTTTGTCACTCTTTGGGATGGATTGATAAACAACAGCCAGGAACACTACTGGTACAAGTGGATGATTAGAAAAGAATACTTTCTCGACATACTTGAAAGATGAATTTTTCCTAAAATATAAAGTGACGGTCCCAAAAGTTTAAAGAATCCTAAGGGAAAAGTATTCCCAACCCAAACCATAGTAGAAACGACACTTGGCTCGAGGGCGAAGGGCCACGTATGAAGAAGAAAAACTTTTGCTTTTTCTGAGAAAGAAATAAGAGCTGATTGGTAGTTTGGCTTCTTCTACTACAAGGCAAAAAGGTGTGAAAAAGACATTTTAACTAGAGGAAATGTGATGAGCATGATTGGTATGTAAAGGAATGTAAAATGTTTTTTTAGGAATAGTGACTTAAACTTCACCCTTGTTTAAGCAAACTACCCCACCTCTTCTGTTTCTTATTTCATTCCATTCTTTCACCTACTATGAGCCACACCCACTTATCGAAATGGGATGGCTGCAATCCCTTTTCTCTCCATTGAAGAAACTGTGGATTCGTCTGCATTCTGCTCAAAAGAAGAGTAAGCTATCGTCTTTTAACAATCCCTTGCTTCCGATTTTCGTTTCGATTTCATGACTATTCTTGCTAGATCAATGCTACCAACTTCAAATAGGCATCAGTTACCTTTATTCTTCTCCCCCATTCTTTCAAACAGAAGCCCAGACTTCCTTGTGCTTTTGATAGGATTGATTTGGCATGACTTTTGAAAAGTCAAAAGGAGTTTTTGAGGCTCAAAAGTATCTTTTAAACCCGTATGGCATGAGTTTTGAAAGTGCTGCTTTTAGTTAGAAGAGTTTTTAGAGGAAGTTAGTCTAATATTGATTTCTCTAAAAATACTTTTGAAATAGGAAGTACTTTTAAAAATTAGTTTTCAAGGCAACTTCCTTCAAAAGCTCTTTAGGAAGCAAAAGCAAAAGTCATATCGAATAGGCTCTAATATCATATGAAATACACACACCTAAACCACATTTTCATCCTCTTCATATTGTGCATTTCCAGGGTTTACTAGAGGGCATTTATCTAGCCTGCTTACTAAATTTCCACTATTGATTTTTCAGGTAGAGGGATATATATACTGTACGAGGATGTCAAGTCCTGCCCCTATGAAGACGTGCATGTTCTTTGGTCCATACTGGTGGAATCACATCCACTGGCATTGCCACCGCCAAAATGATGTTCTCATGTACAAAGAAACTCGACAGTAATTGGGAGATTTACAGCCGTGTATATAAGATAGGAACATCTCCCAAAGTTAAGTTTTGTTTACACATTTTCGATTGCAATTTCTTGCGAGTGAGTTTATAGAATGTAATAAATTATTGATGTTATCACCACAGAAATATGAATAGTCAACAGCATATAAAAAAAGCAATGTGTTTGCATGAATTTTCAGGTCAGACCTATGAATTTACTATACTACTTTCCTGGATGTGAAGTAATTATGTTTTTAATGTTTTGTGGCTTCTTGTTGAGTTGTCGGTTTCCAGAGGTTGAGGTAGCAGTTATATGGGTTCTTCACACCTTTCAGAATTTAACTGAGGCTGAGTCATGAAAGCTACTGAATGGATGTGATAACCTAATTGATTTTGATGTCTGTCCGTGTAGCATTCACATGGTTAGAGCATCTTCAAGAGATTCTTTAAGCAGAAAATGTTTTTAATTTTAAAAAGTTAATCCTTAAAATTATGATTCAATAGACTCTTTCTATTAATATATTTATTTAAAGGCATCAAAATATTTCAATTTTCGATTGAAAAAAATAATATGATAATTTGGAAAGAAGCAAGTGAAAATAAAATATTAGAGAAAACCATAAATATCTTTTGGGGTGATAAAATTAATGTTAATTATAAAAAACCTATTGAAGTACTTAAAAATTTTTATTCTGAATTTACAGACGTTAATTGTAGAATATGTCTTTTAAAAATAAAATTTCTTGAAGATGATCTTAGGAAATTCCGAACCCCATTGAAGTGATCTGAGAATTGGGTTTAGAATATCATGAGACCATTCGAACAACTTTGATGCAAAGTTTAATGATAAATAGCATAAATCACGAGGATATTTGATAGTATCATCTATCAATACAAATTTATTTAGAGAAATGTTTTACCCCGAACATCAAATGGGCTCTGCTGCCCAAATGGAAACAATGAGTTCATGAACGATTAGAAGAGCACAGTTTGTAGAACAAATAATACCTCAGCATGACAACACAAATATTATTTGGGAATAATGATACCTCACGGAAGTATGGCAAATTCTTCATCGTGACCTTCGCCGCATTGGGATAAAAATGCCATCCGGACCAGTCTCAATCTCCAGATCCTACATCAGAGAACATTGTAAGCCAACAACAGAAAAAAATTTGAACACAATTATACGTCCAAACATTCCGTGGTATCCTGGAATTGCAGAATGGAAATAGTTTTAGAGGCAACAGCTTTCTCTTGTCCGGTTCTTTTGTATAAAAATCGTCATTGTTAATACTTAAATACGAAATTAAGGTTGGACAATCCCCAAAGCATAGATAATTGGGCAGTTCAAAGTATCTAGAAATGATGGGAGATTTTATGAACATTTTCATTTATAAATAGATATAAACAAGTAATGGATAGTACTTATGGATCCATTAAAATATGTGGTTAAAAATGAAGTTTGACAATTTATAAATGATTTATAAATTCTGCCAAATGAAGGATAAAAGGTATAAAGAAAATTTGGATTTTTAACCCAAAATGTTCTATCATCGACACATTCAAATTTGTTAGATGACAAAAATATGAAATCCAATAACAATATATTTAAAAATATAAAAATTAACAGAAGGTTGTTATCAGAACAAAAATAAAGATATTGAAAAATAAATTTGATAGGATACAGCAGTTTAAATTAAAATCATGATCAAATATGATTACAGAGTTGATTCAGACTTTTCCTTAAAAAATTATTTAAAGGAAGAACTTACATCTTTACAAGGCAGCAGAAGAGAGGCGTTCAACCACGCCCGGCAGCCATTCTTTGAAGTATGCTTGGCTATCAACCTCTGCATTCGACAAGGCGCCTAGAGGAGTGACAGTTATCTGCAATAGGAAAGGTGAAAGATAAGTTAATTTGGAGCTCCCTTTCAAAAGCAATCACATAATGTAAAACATGTGTAAGGGTTCCTTTGATTGTAAGAATAGAATTTGAGTGAAAAGAAAACGAATTTCGGGGAATTGAATTGCTTAAAACTCATTTTCATGCGGATCGTCAATTAAATATGTATGATTGGTATAATTTTTCACCTGAAAAATATTGAAAAATTTGGATCGTTTGGCTTTGTTTTCCATGAAAATTGTCAATTAAAGGAATATAATTCGTTCCAATTGCCAAAAAAAAGGTGGCTGGAAAACCAATTCCCATGGTGGGAATTGGTTTTCCACCAAACCAAGGAAATTGCACGTGTGGAGGGAGAGATGGAAATGGAATTGCCAAGAAAATTTTGCAATCAAACAAGCTAAAGAGGTGGAAAATTGGGCAAATCAAACAGGCCCTAACTTACATATCCTTCTTGAAGTGAACAGTAGTCTGTATCGCCATCTTCCACTTGTAATGCTATGACCTAAAATATGACACAGCAGTTTGCTTCATATTAAAAATCTCTAGGAGGTAAATAGTAAATGGTGAACCACGAGTAGATTCATGATGATATAACTTTAATCTTCCTTGTGCTAAAAAAGATAGTGGTACTAAGTAGCAGGCAAACAGGAAAAAATTGACACGCAAGTAAATGATAAACAAAATCTTTGAACTAAATAAAAGAAACATGAAATGTTCGAAACTATAAAGTCTTAATTTTTACTTGTCCAAAAGAAAATTATCTAGCCCGAATTTATGATCTTAAAACTATAACAGAGCACAGTATAGATCACTGAGCAAATAAAATAAGGAAAAACTTAATCATAAGTATCTCCTACTTCATTAGTGATTACTAAGTTCAGTTTGGTATAGCCAAAAATCCTAATTTGGATAAAAGTTGTAGGTAACATGAAATGTATAATTAAATTTAATTGTTGACTTTGACTTAAATTTTCATAAAAAATTTTAGCCACGCCAAACAGGGGCTAAATAATACCTACAAGCTACAGTTGAGAAAAATAGAAACAAATCCCACAACATTCAGCCAACTCATTTATCCAAAGTACTTAAATGTATAAGAATACAAAGATCAATTAGTCTAAAAGAGATATTTTAATTTTAATTTTTTTTTTTTTTTTAGCTTGGTCAACCTGAACTCACATTAGAAATAGGTTAATATTAGTCCAAGACTCATAAACCAACAGATATATTAACATTCCATACTATCTATATTCTTACCTTACCAGGCCATGAAATATTAAAATGCATGCATACGAAATGAGCATCAATTAATAGAATGGTGAAACAAGAGAAAATTAAGGCTAGTAGTCAAAGAAATCAAGACAGATTATTTAAAACAATTCAATAATTAACAACAATTTAGAAAAACCACTCAGTTCCATGTAGAATTCAGTTGTAACTAAAAAAATGGATGTTCCAGCAAATGTGCAAGGAGGTAGAAGAGAAAGAAATCACACTTCTCTGCTGAATAGAAGCTGGTTATTTGGTGTGCTCAGAGCATCTGATTCATTATGTGAAGATGAATTTGATTCCATAGTCATAGTTGATAACATTTTTGCTCCTTGGACATCTGATCCAACTTGCCTCCATGCCATTTTTACGATACTCTTGCCCTGCGTCGTCAGTCGATAACCCTGTTGGAGTAACGAAAACAACATTAAACATCGTTTTCTCTACATTCATGCAATGTAAAAAAAACATGTTAATCAAGCAAGCTACATGAAAAATTTTATATTAACGAAAAAGTGAGAAGAAATTGGGAAGGAGTGATCTTGTTGCAATGAAAATAACTGTGTCAATGAATCAGAAAAGCACAAATTTTCATGATAGTGAAAAATCCAAAGGTTTAACAGACATGCAGAACAGGCAAACGGACAAGAAAAATGCAAATTTTTTCTATTTCAGTTGCACCACCAAAATGCAGACACATTGCAACACCTTATCTTAATCGTTTGAGTTAAAAGAAAAAGTGCTGCCAAAACAAACCAGCAAATTACCTTGTGATTGCGGACATCTGTTGGCACATCTATATTCAGAAAACAGTTTTGAGGATAAGTTTTTCTCTTAATTTCAGACAAAATGGCAATAATAATGGGTATGCAAGCCTCTGCAGCCAGTGCAAAATCATCAACATTACTCCTACCTCCTGCCCTGCAATTCAGAAATTCAAGTCATAACATTCAACTTCTTCAACAACCCCATCATTGCAAGTAAATGGGTCCAATAATAATTGATTGTAGAACAATCGGTAGACTACATTTAATCCATCTTCAAAATATATGCCATAAAAATCCTTTCTATAATCTTGTTCACCGATTTGGCCCACCCACCTATCACATCAGACATGATGCAATTCACACTCTGAATGCTGATGTAGTCACTTCTAGGCTAGCAAATTATCAGATTCAAATCATGTGCTTTAGTTTTTTTATTCTTTTTTTGTTTTTTTATATCATAAGACACTATGTGGCTGATGATGCCTTTGTAATAAGAACCTCACTATTCCCTTTTTATCATAGATCGACATAAGAATGCTGAAGTCAAGTATAAAAAGTGTGACCTATAGCCCCTCCATGGTAGGCAATTTGATAAAACAGTTCACCATTCATTATATTCACAACTTTTTATATAAATGCAACATTTGAACCTTCAGTATAATTAGAATACAGTATTGCAAGACACCCTTGTTTATTTACACCAGATATTTTTCTACCCAAATGAAACTTTTAAGATTTTAAAATGAAAAGGATTCCAATTTCGCGCCTTAAATGAAATGAGCGGACTATAATCGGTAGTATTTTATGTATGATCCATACTAGATCTGACCAACTGCCCATCCTACCTCCTCTACGTTCAAATTAAATTGATTTATTATTGAAATTTAAGTCAATTGAGTTATGATTATTCATTTCATTTTAGAGTAGGCATAAACAAAAATTTACCAACATCAATGCGCTAAGACAAACAGTGTATACATACCAGTCATATGATAAAGAGACAGAAGGTAAACCATTAAAAAATGCTTCCCGAGCACCAGCAACTGTTCCTGAATAAACACTGCATTGCCACAATATATTTAATCAACAGATACACAAGCGCAGAACAGTGACCCTGATCAACATTTGATAACTACTCTGCTGATAAACCAATTCCTGGTTTAAGGTAACTTAAGCAGACGACGAAGGTATACCAGATATTGAGAATGTTCAATTGCAACCATAAAAGTTGTTCATAGTAGTAAAATATCTTGTACAAGTGACACGTAGCCACATCTTTTAGTGGTATCATATATGTTCAAACCAGGTACCAGGGATACAGATATATTTAAGTAAATATCATGTAAAATCACACTAAAGGTATACCAGATATTGAGAATGTTCAATTGCAACCATAAAAGTTGTTCATAGTAGTAAAATATCTTGTACAAGTGACACGTAGCCACATCTTTTAGTGGTATCATATATGTTCAAACCAGGTACCAGGGATACAGATATATTTAAGTAAATATCATGTAAAATCACACTGCAGTACTTACGACGAGCACACGCAATTTAAATTATAAAGCACTCATAAGAGACACGGACATAGACACGGATATGACATGGCATGACATGCAACTTATCAAAAAAGGAGTGCATGAGTAGTGTGTGTCCATGCTTCACGTGAGAGAGCAATTTTGGAGCGAGCACTACATAAGAAGTCATCTCATCTACAAAGATACAGAGGGCAAAGGTAGACAACGCTACTAACATGTGATAACCACAGTTGCTGCCCATATTAATGCCACTGATTACCTACAAAACAGATACTGGAGCATTAGAGTTTGCAAGTAACTCTTTCTCTATCGAAATAAAGCACAACACTAGAGATTATAGGACAAAGGGCATTAGCCAAGATATAGCGGTTCTTCAAAAAGAAGCGGAAAAACTTGGAGCAATTATTTGCCCAAACATTACCCTTCAAAGTGCATCAACATTCAGGCACTGTACAAGGATGAAAATATATATCTTGTGTGCAATCAAGATGGAGGCATACTGCTCAAGATTTGAAGGAAAGAAAGAACAGAATACTGAAATGAAACAAATAGAACCATCAAACTATTCCAGATGATGCAAAATAATTACCAGATCAGGTACTAAAGGGAAAAGAGCTTTGGAAATTCCCAAAGATGTACAGTCAGCAGGAGTTCCTGAAAAAATAGAAGTCATGAAAAAAATTAGTTGTACGAAAAAAATTATGCGTATCTCCCTGCTCAAAAGACGAGAACTTGTTACAGAACATTTATGTCTTTCATCAAATGAATAAAATGGATCAGATTATCAATTATCTGTGTTGGAAACTGTTCATACTATTTTCCGACTGTAATATGTATAAGCATGGATTTGCAGAGTGAATGAATTGAAACCAAGGTTGATATGGTTGGTAATGCAAATGCATCACTTTATGCACCCTGAGAAGAGCAGGGGCAGACACGCGCGTGGCTAGCTTCTTTTATTTAATTTCGGTTGCTTGTTTTATTATTTAATTGTTTTAAAGTTTTATTTAATTGAGGGTAGGAAGGTCATTTTATTGCTTGATGGATCTTGATTTAAAGCTTTTCCTAAGGTTTTTAGTTGGCTCAGTTTTTGTTGAATCAAATTTTAGAGACTTTTGGAGATGTTCCACATTCCCTCATCGTGTCTTTTTTGTTTCTATTTCCACAGCATCAGTTGGATAGTAGAAATATGACATAAATGCTTATAAACTATTAAGCTGCACCAAGTACAGAATATAATTGTTCATATTTTAAACATGAAATTTGTGTTATTTTGTATCTAAAGCATAATAGAATAAAAAATACCATGTTGAATGACAAGGAGATGCAATATTTGGCATATGCACGATCTATACAATAATACGAATAAGTTTAGCCTCCCCTTCACATCATAATGCAAAAAATGAGGATAAACAGAAAATTAAGTTGAAATTTTAAACCATCATGTTTGCATGCAAAACAATTTAATTTCATCTTTTCAAATAGTTAAGCAAGACTAATCCATAAAAACACAGCACAGTATATTCTTCACATGAGTGCTTTCAAATTAAGCTGCACCAAGTGCATTTTTTATTCTCTACATGAAAAGATGCAAGTATTATAGAATTCAAAACGAACGTTAAAAAACCAAGGAGATGCAAAATTTATCATCTGACTATGTATTTGAGTAGAATTCAAAAAATGAGGAAAGAGAGACTTTATTTGAGATTTTGAACCATCATGTTCCTAGGAAAAAAATGTTAATCTCAACTCTTCATATAGTTGGACAAGAAGTAGCCTTCAGATAAGTGTTTGTGAATGGTAATCCACACCAAGTACATAATGTAAAGCTTTGTATTTCGAACATGAAAGAATCTAGTAATTTATATCTATAGCATCAGAAAATCGAAAAGAATATGTTAAATGCCAAGGAGTTGCACCACAAAAAAAAAGAAAAAAAGAAAAAAAAGAAGGGAGTTTTGATTTTAAAAAAATTAAATTGAGGTTTTGGAATCATCATGTTAGCAGGCAAAAAGTTTATTTCATCCCTTCATATAGTTGGACAAGAGATATCTGTAAATGCAGCACAAGATGTATTTCTTCACATAAGTGATTGTGAATATTAAGCTGCCCAAGTAAAGACTGAAGAATGAAATGCTGAATGGCAGCTTAGTAGGACAAGGAATGGAAGCCCAAAAATATACTACTTAAAGGTCTCCATGTATCTTAGCACATTCTGGCACAAACAGTCGTATCTTCAACTTCTGCAATTATATGTCACAGAGGAATGATTGAAACAGGATAAAAATTTGTTATTTTCTGAAATATAAAATCAATCTTCGTGCATTCCCGAAATGTAATAACATTCAGGCAAAAGAAGAAACACCTAATGCAATTTTTCTAACATTAATTATTATAATTAACCGTACTGTTTATATTTCTTTTATTTCCTTCAAAATTTTCTTCCTTCTTTCATTCGTCAAACAATACCATTCTTTTTAAGTGTTTGAACAAACACAGGAAGTATACATGATAGAAAATTAGTGAAAAATGAAACTGACCGGTAACTGCAAAAGCAGTTGCTCCACCGATTTCCACTGGCTTAGCAGAAACAGAATTTCGCCAAGTGACACTATGACTAAAAGCAGATTTTTCACTGAAAAAGAAACAACAACATGTAAGAAATAACAATGAAGCATCACTTTGTAGATATTTCATAATTGGATAAGTCTTAGATAGTCACTACTCTAGATTGACATGAACAGAGCATCTGATAAGATCACAGACGAAAGTGATACGAAAGAAAGCTAGACAAAAAAAGGAAAAAAGGAAAATTGTAAGCTCGAAATTCTCCAAAAAAATAAAAAATAAAAAAATCAAGTCTTCGCTTTTAAAACAATCAGAAAAAAAAAATGTAAATAATGCTTCACAAAATTAAAAAATAATAATAATAATAAAAGTAATGGTTGGAGAAAAACAAGCTAACACACTTGTGAACATGAAGGTTCAAAAGTAAACTCAGATTCACATTACTCGAGCTAAAACTACTACTAGACAAGCTAAATTATATAACAATGCATGCGCTGCACATTCAGCAAGCACGTCGAGGCAAAAAGTGAGTGATATGATTTTTATTTTTATTTTTTTTATCAGCTGATTTGCAACTGAAAACCAATAATGTTTTTAATTTTTATCAGCTGATTTGCAACTGAAAACCAATAATGATCACCCAAAAAATAAAAAAATGGAGTGAGCACGAGAATAGATTACGTAAATTACAAGATTTGCAACTGAAAACTAATAATGATAAAAATAAAAAAATAAAAAAAAAATAGAAAGGGAAAAGCGAGAGTGAGCACGAGAATAGATTACGTAAATGCACTAAAAACGAGCAAGAAATCACAAAATTAATGACAATACTTTAAACCAAAATATTAAAAACAGCTACAATTACTTAACAAACTAAACATACTTTAATGGACCGTATACCAACCAAAGAACTAGAAATGACTTTCATGAAACACAAAAGATCTAAATTGTAGCTAAGATTCAAATTCCTCTCACCCGGTAAAAAAATTAATAATAATAATAATAATAATAATAATGAACTGTAATTGCATATAGAAACTCATACACACCAATAAAAGCACACATAAATACGCGATTATATTATACGTACGAGTCGGGAGCACAGACGAGGACTTTGAAGCGATTGGAAGAGACGAGGACGCGGACGAGAGCACGCAAGCCGGGGGCGTCAATTCCGTCGTCGTTGGTCACCATCACCGTCGGCCGATCGCCGGAGCACGTGGTGCTATTAATATTACTCTCCATTTTGCTTCTTTTTTTCCAGATATGCAGAATTGTTTTTTAGTGTGGCTAAGAGGCAAGGCGACTGGAGGCTGTGAGAGAGGAGATACGACTGCGTTTCGTATACGCAGATTATCTGCTGTGACAGAACTAATGTCGGGAATATGCTTTGAAAATAATAAATAATTATTTTGTCTAATAAAAATCAACTAATTCTTTGAAGATTGTTGACTTTGTTTGACGTTATTTCAGACGAATGAAAAGAAACACAAAAACATTTGAAAAATGGCCTCTTTGATGCAACCAAATTTTATGGAAACTGGAATTCAAATTCCACTTTTCACCCATTTTGTCTTATTTGAGTCACAACATTTTTCACGGAATTTGGTAAGAGCAGACTCAGACCTTTAGTATTATGGGGTCAATGTTTTAAAAATAATTTTTTTAATAAACAACTCAATATCAATGAAAATGAGTTTATATGTATTTTTGCACTTTGAAAATATTGTATAATTACATTATTATTAATATTATTAAATAGATTTTGTTGCTTATATAGTTTTATTTATCATTTCATTGGTAAATGCTGAGCTAATATTGAGTAAATTATATTGAATATAGAAATTAAATGAATTGAAATAAAATTCAAGTTTAGTTCAGGAAGTAAATTAAATTCAAATTTAAAGTAAATATATTTCGAAAGTAATTCAAATTGCATTTAATCAGTAACGATCCTAAAAAATTTACGTTATAGTTCATGTAAGACTTCCAAATGAAACGATATAAATTATATTGAAAAATTTATCGTGCAAAAATAATAATTAATTGAATTTTTTAAAACAAAAAATGAGTTAGACGTTTTTTTTGAGGCGTATGTTTGATACATATTTAACTATTTTCGATATCCGTTTGGACCATTCGATATGAAAATAACGTAGTTTTCGAAATAAACTTTTACATGGCATAGACGATTTGTGGATTCAGATAGCACATGATCGCAAACGAATTTTTAAAGTTAGGATATTATTGAAATTCTCAAAATACTAGTTTCAAACGCCCTACTTTAACATGTCATAACTTTTGCTATAGTTGACCACTTCGCATGCTATTAATGAGTGAAAAATTAGGCCATGAGTACTTCGAAATGGTATTAAGAATGTAATATTTTGGCTTCATTTGACATCTCGACGAGTGCATCAAAATGGATTGTAAAAAAATAAAAGTAAATAAAAAATTAAAAAAATACAAGGGCAAAATTTTGTGGGGTCCGCCCCTGGAATTTGGTTTCCACCTTATCCCGTCACGTGATACTTTTTCTTGGTTTTCAAGTAAATTGTTTTCCTCAGTTTTGGTGAGAAAGTGAATTCCAGTTTCTTTTTTTATTTAATTTTCTTTTTTTGCGATCGAAACAAATTCTATATATAATTGTAACAAATTCTATCCTTCTAATTGACAAATTTCATAAAAATAAAGTCAAACGAACACCAAAAGATACAAAATTTCAATATTTTTCTAGTGAAAAATTATATCAATCAAACACATTTAATTGATAATTCCTACTAAAACAAATTCTAGACAATTCAATTCTCTGTAATTCGTTTTTTTCCACACAAATTTCATTATTGTAATCAAACGGACCCTAAAAATGCTATTTGGTGGATATTAAAATTAAAATTTTAGTAAATTTTGATAAAAATTAATGAAATATATGGACTCCTATTTTTAAGTGAACTCTAATCGCTCTCAAAGTTAATGTAATTTTAGGAAGAATCCTTGTGTAAGCTATTTCGAATAAGATAAGAAGTAGTATATCTTGAATCAATTTCGAGATGCAAGAAAGCAAAGAAGTAATAGGTGCAACAGACAGTTAAGTTAAAAAATAAAAAAATTAAAATGATACTCTACGTGCAATAATGATTGACAATGTTTGTTGAAAATCATCATCACATACATCCATTTCAAAAAAATTTAAAAACAATTTTTTAAATTAACTGTCAAAAGATTTTGCTACATCAAATATTATCAAGAAATATTGTCAAGTATGATTGTATAAGTAGATTAATTATTGAGAAATTATGAATTCCATGATATATGTTATTAAGGCCCCCGTTTGGTACCCATTTTTGTAAGAATGAAAAAGAAAAAATATAGTCGTTAAGGACCCACATAAGAGATAAAAAGTCAAATATGATGTTTAATGTGATGGATAACGATCATATTTTTCATTTTTGTGACCAAAGAATAAGAATCAAATGAGGGCTAAAATTAATTATTAGTTTTGACTCAAATTAAAATTAAAATTTTAATTTCTACTAAATGGGACTAGATATATTCACCATTTTTTTTGTTAGCGAAGAGATCACAAGTCAAGATTAGATTAAGAGCATGTTTGGTACAAATTAAAATTTGATTTTAATCTAAATCAAAGTCAAACAATAAATATTAACATCTTTTATGAGTCTCACAACTTTTTAACAATACATTTCCAAAACTTCTATTACAATGTACTAAAAAAATCTACTTTTAATCTCTATAAAACACCCTCCAAAACTTTTTCTGTACTTATCTATAATATGCAAAAATAATAAATAAATAAATTTACATAATTCTTGAATTAGCCTAATGCTATGCCTACAAAGCAAGGCTTGATATAGCCCCCGTTTGACCCCTATTAATTTTGATTAAAATGGGAGAAATAGTATTTTTTTGAAAAATGGATGGTTGTAAAATAATAAAAAGTTTTCAATTTACGTGTAATATTATTTTATTAAAAATTGTGTAGTTAAAAATAAAAAAGAAAATTTTTTTATTTAATTTGATGAGATTTAACGGGGCAAACGGGAGGATAGTGTAAACTTGCAGCTTTGTTACCTTAAAATCCATTATGTTCTGCTCATCTTTCTTATCTGAAGTATTTAGTAGTAAAATCCTACTGAATATGCTAACGTGTGTAGGAAGATTTGTGTCTTTGTTAAATCAAATTGAAACAACTTAAATAAGAGAATCTAATCCTCACGTAGAAGATAGAGAAGAATCATAAGAATTATCATCCCACTGAAGTTTAGCCACTCTTTGATCCCCATTCTTTTCCAATTTTTTCCTTCACATTTCATTTTGCTACAATATTTACACTAATATAATATTATAATCACTCAGTCTTTTGTCAGAGATGATACAGGATGAAAAACCGTCTTGAGTTTGATGACTATTTCGCTCTCAATGGAAAGAATAAAAATTTCAACAGAAGGGCAGAAAGGGAAAAATCAAAATTCCAATTGAAGGGTTGAAATGATTTTCCACAAATTGCCATAATTCAAATGATTGACACACACGAAGATGCCTCAATTTTTTGCAGGGACGCCGCCCTTATATTCTTCATGGGCTACATTTTGAAAAAAGTTAGAAAAAATTAGCAAGAATCAGGGCCAAACATACGCTTAATGTGACAGAATAGGAAGAATAGATAATCTAAGGCTTCGTTTGATACCCATTTTTTGTAAGAATGAGAATGAAAATATAATTATCACTGAACTCACACAAAAAATAGAAAGTCAAATATGGTGATCATATTTTTCATTTTTGTAGCCAAAAAATGAGAATCAAACGGGGACTAAAATAGATATCCGTTCATATTTTCCGAATACATTAAAAAATAAAATAAAAATAAAAATAAAATCTTTTACGTTTAAGAACTATAGAATTTAGAAATGTCTTCAACATGCTAAAATATAATATTAATTAATTGTTAAATATTTACGTGACTCCAATAATAAAATTAATTTCTGTCTTTGGTTTTCACGATTTTTCTTCTTTATTATTTTCTCAAGCAAGAATAATGATAATACCCGTTGTCAAGCCGTATAAAGTGACTTCCAAGTTTCTATTCATCGAATACACTTGAAGTTCAAAACTTACCTTATCAATTTGTATACGGAACAAGAAAAAAATATTCCAACTGACAATAAATAATTGGAAACGATTTTGAAAATAAATAAATAGTTAAAAAAATATACTTCAACCCTAGATTAATTGAACAATCTTGAAAGTAAATAAATGTACATGAACTTGAAGAATTAATTTACACCTAGATTAACTAAATGATCTAGAAAATACATAAAAGTGTACATGATCTTAAAAAATAATAATTTATACTATATATTACTTGAATAATCTTGAAAATATAGAAATAAATTTGATTGTTTGAATAAAGACCGAGTATAGTGCACTGATTATGTCATGGGATAAAGAGATTAGTATTGAAATATTTCAAGTACAATTGGGTACAATCATCTAAACTATATTTCTTCTTGTGAAATTATATGATAATAAGGGATGGTTATTTAATCTTATCATGATACTATTATTTACTCTAGAAGAGTGTATTGTATTCATAACACTCTCATTTTGAATCCTAAAAATTAATATTGGTTCATTGTTATAAATAGGGGTGTCAATTTAACTCACTGGCTCACCCGAAAAAAGCTCGAGTTGTGGCTCAAGTCGAGCCCCATTTTGAGGTGTCAGCCCAAGCTAGCTCGTGTGACTCGACAAGCCACATGAACCATTTTCCATCCGTGACATCCATTAAAAAAAAAAAAGAAGAAGCTATATCTGCCTACAAAAGACAACATAGTTCCCTGCAAGGCAGCTATGTTATATATATAAAAACAAATGAGACGGTTCGACTCGACTTGAGCTAATAAAAGTCCGAACCATTTTTACTTGAGTCGAGCCTGAGCCTCAAGTTTTGGCTATCGAATTGGCTCAACTCGTTGACATCCCTAACTCTAATGAAGTAAGTACTTGGTACCAATTATTTTTTAAAATACATTTTTCTTTTTCTTATTTTCAACTACATATTCTTCAATAAAATAATATTACACGTAAATCCAAAAGCTTTCTTTATTTTTTAATGCACAGTCTTTATCAAATTACTATTTGAAAATGCTTTTTCTCAAAAAAAAAAAGGGGGGGGGGGGGCCCTTTCACATGGGCTTAACTAAATTTTCAATGAATTTAAAAAGAGGAAATTACATCAACACATTGTGTGATTTTTAACTTTTCAATTCCAAAAATCAGATTTAAAAGTTTTTGGTTCAAAAATCAGAAGATAATTCAACTTTTGAATAATAATAATAATAATAATATTA